GCTGGCCAGCAGGAGGAGCGCCCGCCCCTTCAGGCGGAGCAGGCTGCCCAGGCTGCCCCGCTGCTGCAGGCGCTGGCTCCTCCCTGGACTCCTCATCATCGGCCGTGCGGCGCTTCTTCGCCGCCAGCCGCTCCTGCAGGGCCTTGTGCTCGGCCTGCAGGGCCTCTCCCTTCTGGCGCACCTCGCCGAAGAAGCGGCCCGCCATCTGCTTGAAGGACGCATCTGCTTCTTCCTGCGCTTCGCCTCCGCCAAGGCCTCGGGCCCGAGCTCCTCGAACTCCGCGTAGCCGAAGAGCCCGTCGTCGTCGAGGTCCAGGTCGTCCAGGTCCCCGTCCATGAGCTTGGCCAAGGAGAGCTTGAGTGGTCCCCCAGCATCAGCCGCCGCAGCTTTGCCAGGGGCTCCCACTCCTGCAACGGCCTCGGCCACCGCTTCCTTGTAGTCGGCCTCCGCGCTCTCGAGCTCGGTAACCAACTCGGCCACCAGCACGCGCTGCTTGTCCACTTGCGCGAGCAGGTCCTGGAGCACCACGTTCTCCGCCTCCAGCTTGCTCTTGAGCTTGCGGACCTTCGCATGCGCTTTGTTGGCCCTGAGCTGAGCTGGCTGCTCGCTGCCCTTGTCCAGCTGGTCCAGGAGCTGCCTGTACTTCTTGGCCGTCTGCGCATCGCCAGACTTCTCTGCCATCGTGACCATGGAGCGCAACTCATGCTTGGAGAGGGCCGTGGTGGCGGACTGGGACTTGGCCTGGATGGCAGCACGGTGCGCGTCGGCCATCTCCTTGTCGCCCTTGCTCCCGGCAAAAGCGACCAGGGCCTGCATGGCGTCCACTCCGAGGCCCACCTCGCCCCGAGCAGGAGCACCACCGCCACCAGCAGGACGAACACGATCCCTCTTCCACGGCGGCTGCGAGTCCCCGCCGTCGCGCTCGGCTCCGCAGTGCTTGCACCAACGCAGCCGCGCCAGGTTCTTGGCGCAGCGGCAGTCGGGCTGGGGGCAACGCCGCATCTCCCCGCCCTCCGATCGCGGTCGCGACGCCGCCCTCGATGGTGCCCGCGACCGAGGCTTGCCGCCATCTGCACCCATGTCGGCGAGGTGGCCGTCGCCGTGGTGCCCGCGCAGCAGCCGCCTCGCACGGTTGACTGCCAGCAGGCCGCGAGCCTCCGCCCGCCGCCTCCGCAGACGCCTGTGCCAGGCAGGGGAAGGCGCCCGATGGCGGCGCCCTCGGCCGTCCGCGACGCCCGCCGCCCCTGGGGCAGCAGGCTGGGGGCTGAGACAAAACGGGCCCCCTGTGGCCCGCAGGTCTGAGCCAGTCTGAGCACAAGCCTGCAGAGAGCGTTCAGTTGCTTGAGCGGTCTCGAGGTGGAAGTCGTTGGAGAAGGAAATGAAGAGACGGGGGCCGACGAGAGACATGCGGAGGGTGTCGTAATCGAGGTCCAGGTGCTCTCTGCAGAGCGGGCGCGACAGGTGCAAACGCTTGGCCGAGATCTAATCCTGGCGGAACAGAGCGCGAGCCATTCCTCGGGGGTGGGGTCGTTTCAGGATAGGCCGATCACGGGCAAAGCGAGCAGCTTCCAACATCAGAGTTTTACAACAGTCGCGAGCGAGAGGTGGGGGGTGGTCGAACGAGCCCGCTTGGGCCGCGCGGCCCAGGAAGAGTTCACGCGGGCGGAGGCGAACATCTCTTTCGGGATGGGGCGCCCCCCTGGCGGCAGCGGCGGGCGCGCGCGAATGTGCGCGACCGCGTGGGCGTGATCCGTCAGACCTGCAGCGTCCAACACCTCTGGGCGTGCGCCCACTCCCCCCCTGGGCGCCAGCTGCGAAAAGGGTCTAGCCAGGCCACGAGGTGAGGATGCGGTCCAGGAATTCAAGGGTGACTGGCGCTCTGGCAATTGATTTTTGTTTTTTTTTGGGGGGGCAGCAACTCAAACTCAACCGCGCGAGAGAAGGCTTGGCCCCAATCAAGGGGCGGGGGGTGGGTGGTGTGCGTGTGTGTGTGTGTGTGTGTGTGTGTGTGTGTGTGTGTGTGTGTGTGTGTGTGTGTGTGTGTGTGTGTGTGTGTTGTGTGTGTGTGTGTGTGTGTGTGTGTGTGTGTGTGTGTGTGTGTGTGTGTGTGTGTGTTGTGTGTGTGTGTGTGTGTGTGTGTGTGTGTGTGTGTGTGTGTGTGTGGTGTGTGTGCGGGGGGGGGGGGGGGGGGGGCGAGGGCGAGGGCCAGCCAACGCGCGGCAGTCACCGTCGGGGGGGGGGGGGGGGGGGTGAAGGAAGAGGTTCGCGAGAGGAGAGGCTCAGATCCCTAGTCCCTAGCGACCAGAACCGATCCATTGAGCGGGTCTTCTTGCGCCTGCTGAAGCGCGTCAGAGAGCTCGCTGAAGAGGCGCTGCTTGTCGTCCGCTGATGCGTCAAAATTGTGAATGTTAAGAATGCTTCGCCCGACGCGCCCCATTCGCAGCCCCCGTCGCGGTCAGGGGCGCGCGGCCAGGGGCGAGGTCATTGAGGAGGGGGGGGGGGGGGGGCGCCTTTGACGCAACAGGGCAATTGCGCCCCCCGCCCTAAAGCTGCCGCGGAAAGCGCAAGAAACCTGGAGGGGGAAGTGGACGGAGTAGAGGAGGCCCCTGACATCGCACTCATCACCGCGCGTCTCTTGGAGAGCAACTATGCAGCCTGCAGAGAACAGGCGGCGTAGCAGCACTCTACGAACTCGGAGACAATGGTCATGGAGAAATAGCGCTCTCGCATTCCATGTGATCGCTCGCATCGAGGAAGAAGAGGGGGGGGGTGCCCCTCTTCGTGGGCACACGCCGCCGGGCGCTGGGGCGGCTAGGAGCCCCACTGGACGGCCTGGGTTGGGCCGAAGGCGTCGATGATGATCTGAAGAACCCGCGCGGGGCCCATGTTCTCCGCGAGCAGGTTCTCGCTGGCGCGGCTGACGGCTGAAGTTCGGGGTGTCCTGGCCGTCGATGGGGGTGATCTCTGACCGGCGGCCCCCGCCCAGCAAGCGCCCCCCCCTTGACGCGGTCGACGAAGAAGCGCGCCTGGGGAAACTCGGAGAGGAGGGCGCTCTTGACTTTCTTGCAGCCGATTTCCTCGCGCACCGCGGACGTGTTCTTGTCGGGCCCGGCGAAGAGGTTAACCTGACCATCTGCGACCGACTCGGCGCGGAACTGACGCCAGACGGCCAGAGTGACCCCAGCAGATGAAGTCTTGAGGGGTCCGAGGGCTTGGTTGACCTTTCTCTCGGCGTATTTGTGCGAGACTTTGAATGCGATGATGAACTTAGTCCCCGTCGGCGTCTTCTCATCAATCGTGTAGTCCAGGCCGTTGATGTTCGCGTCCGTGAGCCAGGGGTTGACCGCGTCGAGCACCGCGCTCTTTGCCGCCAGCTTCTGGGAGCGGACGACGACCGCAGACTTGTCGATCGGCCTGTCGAAGTTGGATCCAACGATGTTGAGAGGAGGTTGTGGCTCTTCACATTGAACCTCTTGCAGTTCGTGGCGTTGTCGTCGTAGGTGCTCCTCCAGGCCGGCGATCCTCGAATCCTGTTGATTGACTCTGGCCTCCGCCCCGTTGATTCTGGCCTCCAGCTGACGAGGGGGACTCGAGAACGATTGCGAGACCCTGGAGGAAAGCGCGGGGAGAGAGCCTTGCGCGTTCTTCTGCACTGGAGAAATGGACTCTTGGAGGGCGGCCTGGACGCCATCAGCGCGCAGTCGCGCACTGGCAACGTCGCCGACGAGCCTGCTCCAGGACGCAGCTGTTGGCCACCAGGGAAAGGGAGGGACCGCTTGTGCACTTCGTGGTTCGAACTGATTGATTGGGTCGCCCGAAGGGGTGCCTGCCACCGCGCCACTGCCCGCCGCTCCCGAAGAATGCGGGGCCACCCTGTGGCCACCAGCGCGGCCGGCCAGGATGGTGCGCTTCTTGTCAGGAGCTTCGTCGCCGTCGGCACGAACAGCGCCCGGGCCAGCAGCGCCACGAAGGGGCGTAGCAACATGGCTCTGGGAGGGGAGCGTGGGCATGGCTTCGGGATCGCCCACCACATCCGACATGCAGAACTGCTGAGGAGGGGCACCATTGCCACCCATCGCGCGCTGGCCTACCAAGGAGCCGCACCCAAAGCGATGACTGGTCGTGGCCAAAATAAGAGCTCCCCCTTGGCCAAGTGAATGGCCCTGAAGGGGAAAGGATCGTGCGATAAATGAAAGGGCTGCCGGGAAGCTGGTTTACCGGAGCTACCTCGAGCATATGGCTCCTTGCGCCAAAACGGCTTGAGCCAGAGTGGTTACGGACCTCCTCCTCCTCCTCCTCCTCCCCGCTATCCCTTGGAAAAATGCGAAGTGCACGTTGCAACAAAATCTGGATCGTGCGCGGGCGCTCCGCGATCACTCCGCAAGGTGTTTGACGAGGGCGCCGGGGGGGGGGGGGCGACGCGTTGTCTGCTGCGCGCAGGCCCGCCATCTATGTGCAAAGAAAATGCAGTGTAGCGCGCACTTTGCCGAGGGGCGGGGGGGGGGGGGGGCAGCGCGTCGCCTGCTGTGTACAGGCCGACAGTCCATCTCACATTATCCGAGACGTACCAAACCCGGCGAGGCGGCTGTCCATTGGACCGCGCTCCGTCCTTGTAGTTTGCTTGATAAGCGAATGCGAGCGGTGCTAAGGCGAGAGCCATATCGTGAAAACGGAGCGCCCGCTACCCTCGTCGCTTTAAACGCAATTTCGAAACAAATGTGCACGGCGCCGGAGCGAGATGATCGCTCTGATAACGACGCGCCCCCCATCCTTGCCTGAAATCTTAAGCTTCAAGGTCGTGAGCGCCGAGGACGCCTGAGGGGGAAAACCTGGCACGCCCTGCTGACACGTGCGCTGGAGCGACGAGCGCGAGTCATTTCTGGAGGTTACCTGGGGACACCTCGTGCCAGAAACGCCTTTTTTCCCAGTATTATAACCGCTAACTAATCCGCCAACTGCAGTTGGAGACCGCCACCGCGCTCTCGCAACCCTCGCCGCCCTCAGCGCAACGCGAAGGAGGTCAGCCCAAAATTTTCGTTAGCCCAGCAGTCGCAAGCACCGCTTGCCACCATCGTTGCCCCGGCCATCATCGAGAACGGCGACGCCGTGAAGCAGCCTATGAAAGTAAACGCGCAGACCAGAAAAGCGACGCCCACGGCGGCGGCACCTCCTGCCATGGACCCAATCTGTCCATCCGTGCACCTTGCCCTGCGCCGCCTGCGCCGCCTGCTTCCTTTCTGCGTGAGCGCGCCATCCATCCCCTTTGCCAGAGAAGCTTTGCGTAACTGCGCCTCTAAGCGCCTCTCGAGGGAGGCCGGCATCTCCTGCGTTTGGAGCACCTCGACCATCTCTTCACGGCTCACCCAGACGATCTCCGTCCCGGCAGGGATCTCGAAGGCAAGGGTGTGACGCACAGGCGCCTCGCTGTCGAAATCGAAGGCCATGCCCATGAACGTGTTTAGGCTTTGCGCTGAAACTGCGAACGTGTTGTTCTCAACCTGGTACGACGCGGAGCTGTTCCCCATGGACTCCACGCGATCACTGTCATGAGGGCATTGCTCAGTAACATTATCGGTGCCCTCCACGAAAAAAACATCTTCAGCATGACAGGGTTAGCTGTTCTGCGGTATTCCGCTGGCACGTCCATCAACATTGCAGGAGCATCGTTGGTGCCAGCCCCCATGAACGTCACGATTTCTGGCATGTCGACTGCAGCATCTGGGTCGGGGGTTAAGACTGTCTTGATGATATTCCCGCGATACTCCACTGTGGCTGTCACGTTCAAACCTCCATGCCCCGTGTAATAACAGATGTTGCCATTGGGGCAAGGCAGCAAGCCCCCTTGATAGCTGCATCCACTATTGGTCAGCTTGCTAGCATACTTGCGCCACGTCTCGGCCGCACGGGCATGGAGCTCGGTCTCCGACGCGGCGTGTAGGTCCATGAGATACTGGCAGTCTACCATGTCACTGTGACTGTCGGCTTCTTCCGCTACACCGCCATGACCCGCACGCCTGAGCAGTGCCTCATCTACGGCATTCTCCAGCGTCAAAGCCTGCAGTTGCAGTGCGAACTTGGCAAATAGTAGAAGGCGAACGATCCACCACCATGCCTCGAGGCACGAGTTGCAGTGTCCTCAGGTCCCTTAGAGCTCTCTGCATTGGACATTGTAATGCTATGTGAAGCGCGCACAGTCCGGACTTCTGGGCGCCTCAAAGCAACCCCCAAGTGGCTCAAATACCGCCGTAAGACGCCCAATATTGCCGCCAGACGGCCCAGAGGGCCCCCCATTACGCCCCAAGCCCCACTGCGCCCCAAGAAAACTCCAAGAGGCCGCCCATGAAAGATTCAATCATCTAAAATCATTGATTTCCGTACGTTTTCGCCGGGTTTAAGCGTTCTCGTTTTTTTCGGGCTCCCGACGCTCGAAGACGGCCACTAGGACCCAAAGATCACCCAACGACGACCCCCAAGCGGGCACCACGATGGCCCAAGATAGCCCGAAGACGGCCCGAGGCCTCCAAGGCGGCCTAGGAAGGCCCAAAGAGGGGCCCAAGAAGGGGAAACACGAACTGACATTTCGAGCCCTCAGTCTCAAGATGACCCCCGAGACCACCAGCAGGCACCCCAAGAGGTCCCCAAGGAGCCCCAGGAGGCCCCCGAGAGGCCCTCACAAGGCCCCAAAGAGGTACGAAGACACCCCAAACAATTGCTCCCAAGAGGCGTCCGAGAGGCCTCCCGAGAGATCCTAATACATATTCGAGAGGCCTCCGACCTACAACCCAGGCGTGGATGGGCCGAAGACCACTCGATCCAGCGTCCCCTGTTGGCTTGCCACAGGGGTGCACGGCGTGCTGGACGTTGAATAGTTTTTGGTCCTTGTTAAGGGCCCATTAGGCGTTCGCTTCCAAGGCGGTCCAAGGTGCCTCCAAGACGGGCCGAGATGCCTCCAAAATGGCCTCAAGATCGCCCGAAGCGGCCCAAGAGGCCTCCAAGACTGCCCAACAGGCCCTCTTGGAGGGCCTGAAGATGCGAACTCCATGCATATTTCGCATGTGATTTAAAGATTTGGGCGTTTGCTAATGTTCGGCCTTCCGACGGCTGAAGGCGGCCCCAGAGGCCACCAAGATGGCCCCAAGATCGCCCAAGAGGCCCCCGAGATGGTCCCCCCCCACGGCCCAGGAGGCCCCGAAGACTGCTCCAAGACCTCCAAGCAAGCCCAAGATGGTCTCCAGCACGGCCCTGAAACGCCCCAAGAGGGCCCCGAGTCGGCCCAGAGAAGCCCCCTAGACGGCTTCTGGCGGCGTCAGACGGGCCAGAAACGCCCTCGGACGGGCAAATAATCTCCCGAGGAGCCTTCGAAGGCCCCCAAGATTCCCAAGGAAGCCCCCAAGAGGCCCCCAGGAAGCTCCCAGGAGACCGCACGAGTGCCCCAAGAGGCTCCCAAGAATTGTCCTCCTCCTCCTCCTCCTCCGTCCTCCTCCCTCGCTCCTCTTCGTCGTTCTCTCCCACGTGTTCCCCGAAGTGTTTCCACAACGGCTGGGGGAACACGTAGTCTGATAGCTTGGCCGAGTTCTGTCCGCAACGTTCGGCGACATAGACTCTTCCAAGACGCAGGGGGCGGCGGCAAGTCGCAGTAGGCGTCTTCGATAGCCTTGAACGCCATGGGTTCACCTTATTACGTATGTGTGCAGTACTGCAAAAAGCTCGATGTGACCTGTGCGGTCTGAAGGGCTTGCGCCAAATTTGCGATGGTTGAGCGAAGGGCGCATTTGGCAACACCCGAGATGTGTAGGGCGCCGCGGCCGCTCTGCAGCGCTCTGTGGCGCCCCGAGAGCGCTCCAACACTGTCGTGCTCGTGCGCTTTCTGAAGCTCCTGGAGGTTACCCTGCCTCGGGATGCGTTCCAACAGCTGCGCCTCACCGAGATCGCGCAGGGGTGTCCGAACCGTCGCGAGCGGCCGCCCCGAAAGCCGAGTGTCCCTTCGCCTTGGCTGGGTGGGGTCACTCCTGTGCGCAACTGATCTGCAAGGGCGGCTACGGTCGCGCTTCGCGCTGCGCGAAGGGCGAATCAATTCGCGCTCTGGTGCCGCCCCAGAGGGAAGGAGACGAGGACGAGGAGGATGTCGGGACTCGTGAATCGCGAGCCACGGATAGCTTCGCGCCCTCGTGGTGGCTTTTGAATGTGACATGGGGCGGTTTCTCCACATCCTACGCCTGCCTGATGCTCCCCCATCTCTCACGCCTCTGCCTCCTCCTCCTCCTCCTCCTCCTTCGAGCTTCGAGCTGTGAACCTTTAATTCTCCGAAGAGCTGTGGCCCTCGAACCCCTCCCACCAGGAAGGGCCTGGGAGAGGGGCGAACAACATCAAGAGGTGAAAGAAGCGAAGGGCAGCCGAACGGCGGACTCAGCACCAAGGTGAGGGCAGGGTCATGAGCGGCGGGGTTGCCTCAGAGGAAAAACCTGGCACGCCCTGCCGACACGTGTGCTGGTGCGACGAGCGTGATCCATTTCTGGAGGTTACCTGGGGACACCTTGGGTCAGAGACGCCTTTTTTCCCGCAGTAGCAGGATCGCCAACTAATCCGCCACCTGCAGTTGGAGACCGCTACCGCGCCCTCGCAGCCCTCGCCGCCCTCAGCGCAACGTGCAGGCGGTCTGCCCAGTATTACTGTTACCCCAGCAGTCGCAAGCACCGCTGGTCACCATCGTTGTCCCAGCAAACATCAAGAACGGCGACGCCGTGAAGCAGCCTATGAAAGTAAACGCGCAGACCAGAAAAGCGACGCCCACGGCGGCGGCACCTCCTGCCATGGACCCAATCTGTCCATCCGTGCACCTTGCCCTGCGCCGCCTGCGCCGCCTGCTTCCTTTCTGCGTGAGCGCGCCATCCATCCCCTTTGCCAGAGAAGCTTTGCGTAACTGCGCCTCTAAGCGCCTCTCGAGGGAGGCCGGCATCTCCTGCGTTTGGAGCACCTCGACCATCTCTTCACGGCTCACCCAGACGATCTCCGTCCCGGCAGGGATCTCGAAGGCAAGGGTGTGACCCACAGGTGCCTCGCTGTCGAAATCGAAGGCCATGCCCATGAACGTGTTTGGGCTTTGCGCTGAAACTGCGAACGTGTTGTTCTCAACCTGGTACGACGCGGACCTGTTCCCCATGGACTCCACGCGCTCACTGTCATGAGGGCATTGCTCAGTAACATTATCGGTGTCCTCCACGAAGAACATCTTCAGCATCACAGGATTCGCTGTTCTGCGGTATTCCGCTGGTACGTCCATCAACATTGCAGGAGCATCGTTGGTGCCAGCCCCCATGAACGTCACGATTTCTGGCATGTCGACTGCAGCATCTGGGTCGGGGGTTAAGACTGTCTTGATGATATTCCCGCGATACTCCACTGTGGCTGTCACGTTCAAACCTCCATGCCCCGTGTAATAACAGATGTTGCCATTGGGGCAAGGCAGCAAGCCCCCTTGATAGCTGCATCCACTATTGGCCAGCTTGCTAGCATACTTGCGCCACGTCTCGGCCGCACGGGCATGGAGTTCGGTCTCCGACGCGGCGTGTTGGTCCATGAGGTACTGGAGGTCTACCATGCCACTGTGACTGTCGGCTTCTTCCACTGCACCGCCATGACCCGCACGCCTGAGCAGTGCCTCATCTGCGGCATTCTCCAGCGTCAAAGCCTGCAATTGCAGGGCGAACTTAGAGAATATTAGAAGGTGAAAGATCCGCCACGTGCCTCGAGGCACGAGTTGCAGTGTACTCAGGTCCCTTAGAGTTCTCTGCATTAGACATTGTAATGCTATGTGAAGCGCGCACAGTCCGGACTTCTGGGCGCCTCAAGGCAACCCCAGAGTGGCTCAAAGATCTCCGTAAGACGCCCAATATTGCCGCCGCTCGGCCCAGAAAGCCCCACTACGCCCCAAGCCCCACTGCGCCCCAAGAAAACTCCAAGAGGCCGCCCATGAAAGATTCAATCATCTAAAATCATTGATTTCCGTACGGTTTCGCCGGGTTTAAGCGTTCTCGTTTTTGTTCGGGCTCCCGACGCTCGAAGACGGCCACTAGGACCCAAAGATCACCCAACGACGACCCCCAAGCGGGCACCACGATGGCCCAAGATAGCCCGAAGACGGCCCGAGGCCTCCAAGGCGGCCTAGGAAGGCCCAAAGAGGGGCCCAAGAAGGGGAAACACGAACTGACATTTCGAGCCCTCAGTCTCAAGATGACCCCCGAGACCACCAGCAGGCACCCCAAGAGGTCCCCAAGGAGCCCCAGGAGGCCCCCGAGAGGCCCTCACAAGGCCCCAAAGAGGTACGAAGACACCCCAAACAATTGCTCCCAAGAGGCGTCCGAGAGGCCTCCCGAGAGATCCTAATACATATTCGAGAGGCCTCCGACCTACAACCCAGGCGTGGATGGGCCGAAGACCACGCGATCCAGCGTCCCCTGTTGGCTTGCCACAGGGGTGCACGGCGTGCTGGACGTTGAATAGTTTTTGGTCCTTGTTAAGGGCCCAT